TACCCAAGAGAAAATGATCAAAAAGCCCAGTAAAAATCATTGTTTGTTTAATACTTTATTTGAAAATGATGAAAATTGACTGTTATTATATAAGTATTAAAAATAAACTGCTTTGCTAAATAGCATTAAGGTCTGTGGGTCCCAGAATTTTAAGTAGAGTGGAGCCTAAGTAGGATATTTTATGGAGGGCACAGTTGGTGACCAACAATATCTTGTGAGGGAGCTTTTAAAATTTGTCACATTTGATTAATAGCTTTTTAGCACTGGAACTGGCAAACTAGTTGTTGTTGTTAATAATAATAATAATAACAACAATAATAACAAAAACAATAGTAATAAAATAAACACATCTCATCTTGCTTGTAAGCATCCACTATAATAAAATAAATGTTTTCAGTGCTAAAGGTGAATTCATCAAATAAAGCTTAATAAGTGTCTACTTAGTCATTTCTATATTACAATAATAATAAATAATAATAATTATAAAAAATACCATAAATTAAAAAAATTATAAAAATAGCTCAGAGGAAATTTTAAAAAAAATTGATTTTAAGGTTAATTTATTAAAAAAGTAAATGAATTATACTTTACTGGAGCAGGGTGGACCATTGCTTTCATATCTATTAGCAAGTTGATGAAATTAAATGTCTTCCCACTGTTGAGTGATTGAGAAAGTAATATATGAATGAGATATGTTGAAAAACATTTGTTTTCGTGACCCCAACAAAATATCAAATCTATTATTAGTTAAAAATGGTTTAAGTTGAAAAGGGACGCTACTCTGGCGTCTTAAATTCTGACCTTATCTGCTGACAGCCCTTGCTATCCAAAAATGTCTCATTTTATTCTGCATAAAAAGAGGTCTTCCAACTTCTACTTCATGTATTTCTATACTTTAAAACATTCTATCTTCATACTACAAAAGAAATTAAAATAAACACTGTTAAATGAACCAAATATATACATATATTTATATAGATTATTCCTGATAGTGATTTCAAATTTTTTATGCATTACTAAAAATATCAGAATTAAATAATGCCAAGCATGGCTATTATTTGGGTGGGTGAACATTTTAAATAAAATAAAAAAAAAAATCACTCTATCCTTGAGGATTGTTTACAGAATAACCAGTTCTAAACTTGGAAAAACAAGTGGGTTAGTATAAAGACTTTTATCCCTTTTTCACAAAGACAATTAACCTTACTTAAGCAATTTAGTAATCAGACTATGTTTAACGGCAAATAACAGTAATGACTTTTTTTTCTTTTCTTTTTTTTTTTTGATAGGCTTCTTAGTACTGACTATATTACAATAATCTTCAAGATTTCCTTTAATTTTTGTCAGATAATTTAAATTGTTAATATAGTATATAAGTAAAGGTTGGATAGAAAAATATAAAAATAAAGAGAGACCAATTTCTTTGATGAGAAATTATTTTGATCTGTTCAAAACAGTGTCTTTATCTTGATTGTTATAAACACAACCATTGTAATCTTCAGCCTTGTACATTTTTATATCACTGATATCTTTTAGATTAATATCTTCATCTTGATTGTTATAGTCACAATATTTCAGCCATTATTATCTGACCTTCTTCAGATGTCTGCCATATTTGGTAACTTTCTGGGAATTTATGAGTTATCATTCTTATTCAGACAAGTGTCCTCATCTTGATTGTTATGGTTACAATGTTTCAACCATAGTAATGTTCAGCCTTCATCAGATATCTGTTGTATTTGAGAATTTATTTGAGAATTCTTAACTGAACCCTTTATTCAATCCATTGCAAGATACCATTGTTTTTATAGCTCATTATTTCCCTGTTGGTTATGAGTTCAATCACTGAGTGAGGCAGTGAAAGTCATAAACTCTGGATCAGTGGAAAGAGCAAATGTAACATCATAAGAACAAAAGAATACAGGATATCCTTTTGCATGGGCAATAGAACAAGAATTGTTTACTGCACTGGACTGAATAAAGGGCTCAATTTAAATTTTCCGGGTTACTGAATACCACAAGCTTGTGACAAAGACAGGATATAACAGCTGAAATGTTGTGACTGTAATAGTCAAGATCCATCTGACAACCTTCCTTGCCAAACGACACTGCAGAGAAAGAGGAAAAGAAGAGGTGCTTCCTTCAGCTACCAGACAGTCTCCTTCAACCGATGTAAGATGTATATACCATGCTAGCCATGTGAGAACCTTCAACTGATGTGGAAAACTTTTCCAAATTTTAATTTGTGAAACCAAGCTATGATAATAACAGATTGATTAGTTTTTTCTGGTTTATCAACCTCTTGCAAGTTATTTAAATCCAGAAAATATTTTAAAATTTTAGGAATTTTTTAGAGATAATAATGATTTACTGATACAAGTTCTACTAATTAACCCATAGATGGGGGTGAAGAGGTGGATTCATACCTTTCCCAAAGATATTTGTGCATCAGTGAATATAACAAGCTCAACTGGAATTGGGACTCAGCTTTTCAATTAACAATTCCAAGATGTATTCCATTATCTCACATGCACATTTAAGCTTACAGCACCTGATATTCCCACAATGGCAATAGAAACAAGTTTATTTTACTGGTTATTTTACATATATACTATGTAATTTCTTACACTTGCATTCTTTACTTGGATCCTCTAAAATTATTGACATTTATTTTCCTTAAAATAGAAAGAGAAGCATTCTTATTTAAATCATAAATCTGACAAAAAATAAATGATTATTTCCTTTTCATAGAAATATGCTATCTATGCATTTGTAAAATATTAATAAAAATCCTGTAGACTTCTCTCTGGAAAATAGGTTCACATTCAGTCCCCTGTAGAGTATAGGGATCATATTTGACTTCCCTGTGGAGAATAGGGTCACATTTAGCTCCCTTCTGGAATATAGGGCTACATTTGGCTCCCTTCTGGAGTATAGGGCTACATTTGGCTCCCCTCTGAAGTATAGGGCTACATTTGGCTCCACTCTTAATAATAATATTACATTTGAATGCCATGTGGAGTATAGGGTCACATTTAGCTCCCCTCTGAAATATAGGGCTGCCTTTGACTCTTCTGTAGAATATAGGCTCACATATGGCTCCCCTTTGGAGAATAGGGCCACATTCAACAACTCTGTGGAGTATAGGGTCACATTTAGCCCCCCCTCCTCTGGAAAATAAAGCCATATTCAGCTCCTCTGTGGAGAACAGGGCCACATTTGACTCTCCTGCAGTGTATAAAGACACAGACTCACCATGCTAGGTGTTGCTGTTGTAATTTCTGAAGTAAGCTTTTATGGGATGAGTTGCCAGCCCTAGGCCCAACCAGTTTGAATTGATAGTTTTTTCTTTTCCTAGACTGGTTGCCAACCAAAGATAGAGAGTACAGTCTACTCTGCTATTTAACCCATAGCTGGGAGAGGTAGAAGAGATTGATTCCTGACAGGAATTTGAACTTGATACATCAATCCCACTTTCAACCCTGATGACTTCTATACTACATGTTCAGCTATACTTATCGAACATACTATAGCTTATAGTATAGTTGTATAGAATATTTTATATAGTACAGTAGCATATTAAATGTATATAATATATTTTATAGAGGGATGTTTACAGCATTGAATACAGTATATAGTATCATAGTGGCTGGCTGCTCATTTTTGAGGATGTCTGTGTACTAGGGAGGCTAGCCAATCCTTGTTGCAGACATTTCCTCTGGCATATTTGTGCTTGTTCAACACCTAGAGAGCCCACCTGTGGTTTATATGACAACTATGCTTAGTTAAAGTTTCTGGAAGAGAGCACATTATCTGGCATGATCAACAGTGAATGACGCCAGTAGACTCAAACCCTCTGTCACGATGACTTGTGACTTTGTGCTAGCACAACCATTGACAGTTCCCAAATAGTTTCATTGCCCCATTTTCATTAAGAAGGCTTGGGTCAACCTGTGGTATGGCTTTCAGGCACTTGTCAAAGGTGTTGCACATGTGGATCTACCCTCCCCACCCCTCCAAGATAACATTAAGAAGCCACCTTCTTAACAAATTGATCATGGTGAGTTTCAAGCCTGGGTCTTATGGTCAGAAATTGAATGTTCTAACCACTCAGCCACATGTTACGTAAAAAAAAAATGTCCTTTCTGGTAGTGTTGAACCTGCATGTCCTTTTATAGAAGAAACCACCATTTAATCAGGTGTGCTGCAGACCATTCAGCCAAAGAGAGCCAGCAACAATGCAAGGTACTATTTACCCTTTTAAGGAATGCACACTTTCTCATTCAGATTATTTTTCTCGACAGCCCATATCTGATCAGTTTTGTATCCAAGATGTAAACAGCAATTTCTAAAGGATTAATAGATTTATTTTTAATCCAATATTTCTATTACTTCAAACATTATAGTAGATATTCATATTTCAAATAGGCACCTCATTTTTTTTATTTTAAATAGTGTGTACTGTGTCTGTTGGCAATGCACTCAAGAAAAACTTAATAAAGAAAATGTGCTTTCTGGTAGGGTTTGACCCTGTGTCCTTCTTTGCAAGAGAAACCACCATTTGATCTGGTGTGATTCAGACTGCTCAGCCACAGTTCAGCAAGGTTCTATTTACCCTTTTAGGGAATGGACACTTCCACATTCAGATTTTCTTGAAAGCCCATATCTGCTAGTTTTTGTATCTGAAACATAAACAAAGATATGTCAGATTAAAAATAAATACATTAATTCTTTAGGATATTCTATATAATATACATTGATTGATTTTTTTTATGGCTTATCAACCTTTTGAAGGTTATTTAAAGTCAGAAAATATTTTTAGATTGTAAGACCTTTTTGGAGATAATAACTTTATTGGTACACAACCTACTAAATAACCTATACCTGGGGGAGAAGAGATGGATTCATACATTTCCTAAGGATATTTGCACATAAGTGAATATAACAAACCTGACTGGAATTGGAACAGATCTCCAATTTTCAGTTCCCACAAATCCATTACAAAACCTGGTATTCCCAAGCGGTCACCCATCTAATTACTGACCAATCATGATGTTGCTGAAATTCAGTGATCATATGAGACCCAGTGTTTCAATGTGATATGACCGTAAGTCTATATAGTATAGAAGTATTCTCATAGTATAGAATCATTCAATCTAATATTGAATACACAGGGTGCAATGGATAAATTGTCATCTAAATTACGCAAAAATGAAAATAACACTGGCATCTCATTTTAACATATATTTACCAAAATTAAACAAAAACATCTTGAAATACTAAAGAGCAAATTTATTCAATAAAATTGCCATTGGCTTCAACCATGGCCTCCAGAAGACTTCGGAATCTCCTGCAACTTTTCTGGGCAGTCTTAAGTTGGTGAATGCTGCCATAATCTTTGCCTTCAGTTCATCTTTGGTTTTACAAATTTTGTTGGTTTCTCTCTCAACTATGCCTCACACATCAAAGAGCTGGCAGTCTGGGGAGTTAGGTGGCCAGATGTAAGGGGTGATGTGCTTGTAGAAATTGTCTTACAGCTATGACTGGATTCTCTTGTTTGTGTGTCGTGGTGCAGAGTCCTGTTGCCAGATGTAGGGTCTTCCAGCAGCCACCCACCCTCTGGATCCAGGGTAGTACTACCTACTGTATGCTTCCATATTGAGTCTGGGGCCCACACCAACAAATCTGGGAGTTCCTTTCTTATCAGAATGATCAGAGTGAGTTTTCCAAGCTGCCGTATCTTCATAATCACCATTAGACTCATCCAACTCTTTCTGATTCTTCTGCACTGACCTCAAATTAACACCCAAACACTCAGAAATGTTAGTGTTGGAGCTTCTGGCATGAATGCCAAGCAGTATATCATGCCATTTCCAAAATGCTGGCAGAGTGAATTGTGTCATGGTGCTCTTCTCACAAACAGTGTCCAACTGACCCTACTATAGTGCAGTTGACAAAATCAAAATAAATGATGCACATATACAAAATTAAAAATATAAAATAGTGGCAATTTACCCATCCCACCCTGTATTATATAGTTAAAAAAGGTACAACAAAGAAATTGCCCTGGAAGCCATACCATGGGTTGGGTAAAGAGGGTGGCTGTTTGTGAGTGAAATTACATATACAGAATTGTTTGTCAATGATTGTGCTAGCATGACCTAGGTTGACCTAAGCAATGGGAGGAAGACTGGATAGATAGAACTGCTCAAAAAATATTGATGGTTCTGCTAGCCCAAAGTGATAAGTCATCGTGACCGAGGCTGTGAGTGTACTGGTATTGTTCAAACTCTTGATCATGCCAAATGATTTTCTCTCTTTCAAATTAAGGCCTGTCCAATACAGTTGCAGTATAAACCACAGGCAGGCTCTGTAGGTGTTGATCAAATAGAAATGTGTCTTAGCAGACAACAGAAATTGGCTAGCCGCACTAGCATACAAGCAATCAGCCATTATAATTATAGAAGTATACTGAAGTATTTTATAATGATGTGCATATTTGAAATTTCTCAACTTATGTTACATATGTACAAGAAAATCCAAAAGTACTGTTTATATATTAGATTTCATCTTTGGAGGATTTTATTTATCTCTTTATCTATCATATTTTTATAACCTCTTACCCTTAAGACCTTTGTACTATTATGAACTCTTGTTTATCACAAAACTATTCATATCTCTTATCAGGCTGCATCCTGGGGAGAGGGAGGTCCTCTCATCCTTCCTTCTCTGTCATATGTTTGAAGGTAAGATACATTTATCCCCCTGGGAACAGTAATCTTCCTTCTGTCTTTCCAGACCTTTTACCTTGTTCTTAATCAGCAAGTAAGAGGTGTCCTTTTTTTCTTCTCTCACTCACCTTGTCTACCTCTCTTTTACTTTATTGCTTCCACAGTTTTATACATGGCACCATTACCTACTTATCTTTTTTGGTTTTCTTTTCCTTCATGGGAATACAAGCAGAAATAATCCCACTATCTCTGGCGTGGCACTTCCCCAGTTCCCCAGGTTGTTAAAAATTGAAAGACATATTTATTTGGTAGCCATTACTTTGCTGGCATTTCTCATCTTTCATCAGTGAAAACCATGAGAATCATTTCAAATGATTGCTTCACAGATTTTGACCCATAATCAGCCTGATCAGTGGAGATTCCATTTCGAGTGTAGCACCTCCCCACTTTCCCTAAAATATTGTATAAAAGTATACACATAATGTAGAATATTTTATATAGCATAGATTGATCTGTTTTTTTACAGCTTATCAACCGTTTGCAGCTTATTTAGAGCCAGAAAATATTTTTAGAGTGTACAAAATTTTTGATGATAATAATGATTTACTGATACAAATCCTACTAATTAACCCATATCTCAGGGAGAAGTGGTAGATTCAAAACTTAACCAAGTATATTTGTGCATAATTGAAATCAATGAACCAGATTGGAACTTGGCTCTCTTATTTCCAATTCCAAACAGTTATCCATTACACTAGCTGCACATCCGAGCATACAGCAATTGGCATTCCCAAATGGTCACCCTTCTAGTTAATGTCCAGGCTTGATGTTGCTTACCTTCAATGATTGTAGAACACCTTGAATGAGCCCTGCATCATAATTTCTCACATAGGAATGCAAATCTGACTGCATAAAATTACTAAAACATTTTTTTTTCTTGATTAGTCCTTGTTCTTAAAGTAACATCTATGGTATATTGTGGGTCCGTGGCCGAAGAGTTAGAAAAACTGTGTTCAAACCTAACCATGGTTAATTTGTCAAGGACATGATTTCTTGATAATATTGACTATTGGGGAGATGATTCCAGCAGGAGGCACCATTGTGAAAAGCCTGGAAACCATACCACAAGTTAACCTAAGCTGTGTTAGGGAAATTGGATAACCATTCAGAAGTTAGTCATGCTAGCGCAAAGTCATAAATCATCATGACTGAGGTTTTCAGTGTACTGCCATGCTCAAATCATGCCAGATGATGTGTTCTCTTCTAGAAACATTTTGGCTCTGTGGTGTTGAACAAACACAAACAAATGTGCCTGAACAGTCGTTTGCAATAGGGATTAACTAGCTGCCACAGCAGACAGGCATAGTCGGATAAAAGAAGCCAGCCATACTATTGTTTTTCCAGTGAAAGTTCTAACTTCAAAAACCTTGTAAATTCTTAACTTATAAGTGAGAAACTGAAGAAAATGTTTATCATCATACGGAAAAAAAAAAATTGGAAAGTGCAAATATATGTTCCATTAATATATTTTATCTGTATAGCTAAGTCAATAATTTGGTAGCCTAACATGAAAAGAACATTTATTTTATATTACAGATATCTGTTTTTTAATATAATATCTGTCTTGTCAATGCACTAAATCCAATACAGTGAAATTTGCAGATCAAAATTCAGCTATTAATTGAGTTTAGGTATGGGTTTATTGATCCATCTGCATTATATATATATATATATATATATATATGAGATAACAATATATATTTTTATATATCAAGAACAATATAGAGGAAAATGTATGACAAAGTGGAAAAAGTCTACTTGTGATTTGTTTCCTGCTTTAGGACTTCATCAAACTAAATTCATCCAATGAAGTCCTGAAGGATGAAACACATGACAAGTAAACATTTCCCACTTTGTCATACATCATTTTTCCCAATAAGTAAAACAATACTCATATGTTACTGCTTTCCACACCTAAAAGTTTCATGTGAACATTTAGATATTGATGCTGTTGTCTCACAAACCTTAGGTGGTAAGAGCAACGAGATATTCATCATTTTAGTCTAAGGTTTTTCTTAAAGATATTAAATGTTGTCATGAAACTTTTAATTGAAGGAAGCAGTAAGATATCAGTATTGTTTTACTTATAATTTATATTGGCTGTTTGCAATGTTGTACATTAAGCAATGTCTTATAGCATCCCAGTTTTGCCATTATTTAAATATATATATATATATATATATATATATATATAATTATTTATTTAAAAATATGATTCCAAATCGCTACATAAGAGGTCTCATGTTTCAAAACAAGAGCCTAAAACTTCAATATAATCCTTTAAATTAAATTGAGTTGAAATTAAAAAAAGGCTCCGTTCCATCTTCAAAAGCGAATTTTTTGTTGGAATAACGTCTATCTGAAATTTACTTGTTTTAAAAGTTGAAATCAAAATCACCATGGTAACAGCTAGGGCGAATTGTCTAAAATGGGTAGGCGAGTGTAGGGTGTTAATGATGAGTGGCGGTATAGAGATACTTTCAAGGTGTCAAGTCGGGGGAAGGTGAGGGTGTTAAAAAAGAAACGAAGATATATATATATATATATATATATATATATATATATATTATGAAATGGACAAAGTCCGACAATTATTTAAAGACATTTTTAAGTTTAACATTCTTTTTATTGATACAAGTATTTAAGTAAATGCTCTGTTTATAATAAATAGTATTAAATAACATTTACCGGCCTGGATGTCCAAGAAATTTTCATGGAAAATATTCATCCTTCGACAGGATTCGAACCTGTATCCTATATGAGTCCTGTCGAAGGACGAAATATTTTCTATGAAAATTTGTTTGACATCCAGGCCAGTAAATTTTATTTAATACTGTTTATTATAAACAGAGCATTACGAAAAATACTTTGTATCAATAAAAAATTTGAATATTAAACATAAAATACATATATATATATATCTTTAAATATATATATGTATATGCATGGGTGTATATGTATATACATATTATATATACAGTATATATATATATATGTATATATATATATATATATATATATATATTATTATATATAGTATATATATATATGTATATTATATATATATATATATATATATATATATATATATATATATATATATATATATATATATATATATATATATATATATATATATATATATATATATATATATATATATATATGTATATATATATATATATATATATACATATATATATATATATATATATATATATATATATATATATATACATATATATATATACATTATATATATTATATATATATATATACATTATATATATATATATTATATATATATTATATATATATAT